CTAAAGCCTTTGACTGTGTGGATCATAATAAATTGTGGCAAGTTCTTGGTGGGATGGGCATCCCAAGCCACCTTGTCTCTCTCCTGAGGAATCTGTACAAGGACCAAGTAGCAACAGTCAGAACTGACCACGGAACAACAGACTGGTTCAAGATTGGGAAAGGCGTACGGCAAGGCTGCATCCTCTCACCCCAACCTTTTTAACTTGTATGCAGAACACATCATGCGATGTGCGGGGCTTGATGAATGCAAGGCTGGGGTGAAAATTGCTGGAAGAAACATTAACAACCTCAGATATGCAGATGACACCACTCTGATGGCCGAAAGCGAGGAGGAGCTGAGGAGCCTTCTACTCAAGGTGAAAGAAGAAAGCGCAAAAGCCGGGTTGCAGCTAAACATCAAAAAAACCAAGATTATGGCAACAAGAATGATTGACAACTGGAAAATAGAAGGAGAAACCGTGGAGGCCGTGACAGACTTTGTATTTCTAGGGCAAAGATTACTGCAGATGCAGACTGTAGCCAGGAAATCAGAAGACGCTTACTTCTTGGGAGGAGAGCAATGTCCAGTCTCGATAAAATAGTGAAGAGTAGAGACATCAGACTGACAACAAAGAGCCGCCTAGTCAAAGCCATGGTATTCCCTGTAGTCACCTACGGATGTGAGAGCTGGACCTTAGGGAAGGCTGAGCGAAGGAAGATCGATGCTTTTGAGCTGTGGTGTTGGAGGAATGTGCTGAGAGTGCCTTGGACTGCGAGAAGATCCAACCAGTCCATCCTCCAGGAAATAAAGCCCGACTGCTCACTGGAGGGAAAGATACTAGAGACAAAGTTGAAGTACTTTGGCCACATCATGAGGAGACAGGAAAGCCTAGAGAAGACAATTATGCTGGGGAAAGTGGAAGGCAAAAGGAAGAGGGGCCGACCAAGGGCAAGATGGATGGATGGCATCCTTGAAGTGACTGGACTGACCTTGAAGGAGCTGGGGGTGGTTACGGCCGACAGGGAGCTCTGGCATGGGCTGGTCCGTGAGGTCACGAAGAGTCGGAGACGACTGAACGAATGAACAACAACAACAGTAGTAGTAGTAGTAGTAGTAGTAGTAGTAGTTGTTGTTGTTGTTATTATCATCATCATCATAATCGTCATCAGTACATTGATAGCATTGCCTCCAATTATTTGTTATTCCATTTATGGAGGAAGTCCTTCATGGAGCACCAGAATTGTGTCATGATTTGAGGAGTGATTACAACTCTAGAGATCAGGGTTCAAATCCCCACTTGCCATGGAAACTTCCTGGGTGGCCTTGGACAAGTCACACTTTTTCAAATTCATAAGAAGGCAAAGAAAAAGTCCCTCTGAAAGCATTCTGCTGTGAAAATCTTATGACAGTGTTGCCTTAGGGTCACCAAATGCCAGAAACAAGTTGAAGGCACACAACAATAAAAGCAACGGTCATGACATAAAAAACAATATTGAATGCTTTGGAAAGGTTAGAGAGCAGGGTAGGTATGGATTGCAACTTCCATCAGTTTTATCACAAATTAATCAGTGGTAGGGTTTGATGGGAACATTCGTTATAACAACATCTGCAGGGCCAGGTCCTCTCCATTTCTGGTCTGAACCTGACCTCTTATGAAAGATGATGTCTTTTTCTATATTCTGCTTTTCCTCTGCCAAGAGACCAAAGGTAACTTTTTAAAAATTGGAACAATCAAGCCTGATATCTTTCTAGAAGCTGAGAGGACTAAACTGAGACTATCATACTTTGTCCCTATCATTTATTTATTTATTTATTTATTTATTTATCATGTCATCAGCAACCATACCATTGTATTACATTTCTAACAGAACAAAACAAACAGATTTTAAAAAAACACAGATTTTGCAAACTTGGTAGTTGATTAAGTGTCCTTTGATCAGTATCTGGCCACTTGGAGTGCCTCTGGTGTTGCCGCAAGAAGGTCCTCCATTGTGCATGTGGCAGGGCTCAGGTTGCATTGCAGCAGGTGGTCAGTCGTTTGCTGTTCTCCGCACTCGCATGCCGTGGATTCCACCCTGTAGCCCCATTTCTTAAGGTTGGCTCTGCATCTCGTGGTGCCAGAGAGCAGTCTGCTCAGCACCTTCCAAGTCGCCCAGTCTTCTGTGTGCCCAGGGGGGAGTCTCTCATCTGGTATCACCCACGGATTGAGGTGCTGGGTTTGGGCCTGCCACTTTTGGACTCTCACTTGCTGAGGTGTTCCAGCTAGTGTCTCTGTAGATCTAAGAAAACTATGTCTTGATTTAAGTCATTGACGTGCTGGCTGATACCCAAACAAGGGATGAGCTGGAGATGTCACTGCCTTGGTCCTTTCACTATTGGCTGCTACTTCCCGGCGGATGTCAGGTGGTGCAATACCGGCTAAGCAGTGTAATTTCTACAGTGGTGTAGGGGAAAACCTGATAATGCTTGGTAAAGTGAAAGGCTATAGGAAAAAAAGGAAAGCCACATAATTAGTTGATTGGTTCAGTTAAGAAAACCACATTGCTCTATTTCTTATTTAGTTGGCAAATCTGTGTCTAGACTTTACATAGAGGTGTTGTCATAGGGGGTGCAAGTTGAGGTCATTTCCCCCCGTGAGAATTATGCACCCCCTCTGTGAATTTTTCCTTAATTCCCCAAATTTCTAGTTTGTTTGTTTTGTTTGTCGTGCCAGGAACGACTTGAGAAAGTGCAAGTTGCTTCTGGTGTGAGAGAATTGGCCGTTTGCAAGGACGTTGCCCAGGGGATGGCCGATGTTTTGATGTTTTACCATCCTTGTGGGAGGCTTCTCTCATGTCCCCGCATGAGGAGCTGGAGCTGATAGAGGGAGCTCATCCGCGCTCTCTCCCGGATTCGAACCTGCGACCTGTCGGTCTTCAGTCCTGCCGGCACAGGGGTTTAACCCACTGCGCCACCGAGGGCTTCACTCAAAGGGTTGATGCATCACAAGTCCCAGCATTCCTTAGCATTTGCGGTGTTTGCTGGGGTATCCTGTTTATGCACCAGGAGGGTTGGAGACTCCGGTGGCGCAGTGGGTTAAACTGAAGACCGACAGGTCGCAGGTTCGAAATCTGGAGAGGCGGATGAGCTCCCTCTATCAGCTCCAGCTCCTCATGGGGACATGAGAGAAGCCTCCCACAAGGATAATAAAACATCAAAATATCCGGCGTCCCCTGGGCAACGTCCTCGCAGATGGCCAATTCTCTCACACCAGAAGTGACTTGCAGTTTCTCAAGTCACTCCTGACACGAAACAAATAAAAACAAAACAAAAAAACCAGGAGGGTTGCTAGAGCTGCTTCATAGCGACCCGATACGGTTTAATTTTTTTTTAAGGCTTGGGGGTGGGGGGTGGGGGTGGGTGGGAAGGGGATGGGTGTCCTCTTCACGTCTCTGGGTTCATGGGGCCCAAAGAAGCGAATTGGGCTATGGGGACAGACTCCCCACAGGGAGTCTGTCCCCGATTAGACCAGGGAATTTCATGTTTTTCCTTTTTTTTAATTTGAAGGCTTTTGGTGGGTTTGCACTAGCCTTGGCCTGGCTTTTTAATTGCTCTGAACAGGCAGGATTATTTTTAATATACATGTGTTAATTGTAATAATGTTATGCTTATGTTTTGTTAATTTTATTATGCTGTTTACTCTGTATGTTTTGGTGATGGTGCTTGGAAACTGCCCCGAGCCCCCCTCGGGGAGATAGAGCGGTATATAAATAAAGTTTTTTTAAAAAATATTATTATTATTATTATTATTTTGGTGGTGGCCCCATTCCAGCGTGGCAGTTACACATCCCCGCCCCTGGAGAGCCTGGGTTTTTCTTCGGGCGTTTTCCACAATGGAGTTAAGCAAGGGGTCCTCAAACCTTTTAAACAGAGGGCCAGGTCACAATCCCGTAAACTGTTGGAGGGCCAGATTATAATTTGAAAAAAAAAAATGAATGAATTCCTATGCACACTGCACATATCTTATTTTAGTGCAAAAACACTTAAAACAATACAATAATTAAAATGAAGAACAATTTTAACAAATATAAACTTATTAGTATTTCAATGGGAAGTATGGGCCTGCTTTTGGCTGATGAGAAAGGATTGTTATTGTTGTGTACTTTCAAGTCGTTTCAGACTTAGGTTGACCCTGTGCAAGGGCCGGGTAAATGACCTTGGAGGGCTGCATCCGGACCCTCGGGTCGTAGTTTGAGGACCCCTGATTTAAGGCCTGTGTGGAAGCGTCCCATGTTTTCTTTTCACACTGACTTCAGCTTTCATTTGGATGTCTAAGCATAATTTCTTAAAGTTGATGTTGCAAATAATTGCAACACTAGAAATGTGGAGGTTAAAAGAACATTTCAGTTGAGGTGAGAGAATCCTTATTGCTGGTGGATTCATAGAATCATAGAATGATAGAGTTGGAAGAGACCTCATGGGCCATCCAGTCCAACCCTCTGCCAAGAAGCAGGAATATTGCATTCAAATCACCCCTGACAGATGGCCATCCAGCCTCTGTTTAAAAGCTTCCAAAGAAGGAGCCTCCACCACACTCCGGGGCAGAGAGTTCCACTGCTGAACGGCTCTCACAGTCAGGAAGTTCTTCCTCATGTTCAGATGGAATCTCCTTTCTTGTAGTTTGAAGCCATTGTTTCGCACCTTGTCTCCAGGGAAGCAGAAAACCCTTCTTTTTACCCCTGCTGTATAACTCAATTCCTGGACCTTGGCCTTTTTAGATTAAGTGTATTATGGTGGTACACTTAATAAACTAAATTGTTAAGTGGAATGGTTTTGTCCTGGCTGTATGCTTGACATGTTAGTATACTTCTTGGAGGGAACTTCTCATGGTTTTTGGCCCTGGCAGCTTGCACCTTTGCAAGATGTAGTTTTACTATCTTCTTGAGAAATGTGTTTTTGTGTCTCAGGCTTTGGGAAACAAATATAGAACGTGTTGCCAAACTCAATTTTGTAATGATCCCTCTCCCTTCCTTCTTCCAGGATCAGTTTGACATAGTCGAGCGGCACACACAGTGGGGCCTGGATCTGATGGACAAATATGTCAAGTTTGTGAAAGAGCGGACAGAGATTGAGCAGTCATATGCAAAGCAATTGAGGTAGGTACCTTCGTGACCATATCTTTCTCAACGTACCAACCCTGGCCCTTAGATCTTCAGGGGAGGCCCTCCTTTCACCCCTACCAATCTCACAAGCTCGCCTTGTGGGCACAAGGGAGAGAGCCTTCTCCTCTGTGGCTCCCCGACTTTGGAACTCATTACCTGGAGAGATCAGGAAAGCCCCTTCTCTAGAAATGTTCAAAAAGAACCTGAAAACCTGGCTCTACCGCTGCACCTTTGGTGAGTAGGTGCACAATATGACACCATTGCACCCCTCAATGCTCTTCCCACTGGAACACATGCCCTCCAAATGGGAAGTTTAGCTTCACAACTATGTGTGTTTTTATGAGTTCCCTGCAGATAACTTGCTCCTATTTTTTATCCCATTAGAGTCTTTGAATCGTTTTTATCCTATACATGTGGCCCGCACATTGTTATTGTGATTGTGCTTATTGGAATGTTATTTTATGACTGTGTTTATAATTTTTTTTCTTGATGTAATTTGATGATGTTGTTTATTGTTTATGCTCTGGTTTTATTTTGTTGTAATTTGTTGTCTGGGCTTGGCCCCATGTAAGCTGCTCCGAGTCCCCATTGGGGAGATAGTAGACGCTGCTCCCCAGATTCGAACAGCCAACCTTTTGGTCAGCAGCAGGGCCGTAGCCAGAAAAAAATTTCGGGGAGGGTTGACAATTTGGGGGGGGGGGGTTGAAAATTTCGGGGAGGGTTGAAAATTTGGGGGGGGGGGGGTTGAAACCTGCCTCCTAGCTCATGCTGAAGCAAAGAGCACAGCAGGGGGCAGAGCAGCCTTCAATAGCCTGCAGCTCCACCCCTGTCAACCACCTCCACCAAGTCTGGCCTCCTTAATGAGAGCATTCAACACACACCCCCAACTTGGTTGCTTCACTACATCAGCAATTGCTGCAAGTAATGACAGTGTGAATAAATTGTCAATATTTGCTTGAGATAGTGCTTACAGTTCTGGAAGGACTCTTAATTTTTTGCATCTCATAGACTTAGCATGGGGATTTGGTTAACCAGTTAAAATTCATGAGTAAACCAGTTTTTATAAAAAAATCTGAAACATTTCGGGGGAGGGGTTTGAACCCCTAAAACCACCCCCTCGCTACAGGCCTGGGTACTAGCCGTCCCCTGCCACGCGTTGCTGTGGCCCACTTTGGTGGTCATGGGGGTTCTGTGTGGGAGGTTTGGCCCAATTCTATCATTGGTGGGGTTCAGAATGTTCTGTGATTAGGTGAACTATAAATCCCAGGAACTACAACTCCCAAATGTCAAGATTATATTTTCCCCAAACTCCACCAGTGTTCCCATTTGGGCATATTGAATATTCATGTAGAGTTTGGTCCTGATCCATCATTGTTTGTGTCCATAGTGTTCTCTGGATGTAGGTAAATTACAACTCCCAAACTCAATATCAATGCCCATCAAACCCTTCTAGTGTTTTCTGTTGGTCATGGGAGTCCTGTGTGCCAAGTTTGGTTCAATTCCATCGTTGGTGGAGTTCCAAATGCTCTTTGATTGTAGGTGAACTATAAATCCCAGCAATTACAACTCCCAAATGACAAAATCATTTTTTTTGAGTGAAGGACATACATTAGGTTGTTAGGTGTCTTGTGTCCAAATTTGGTATCAAATCGTCCAGTGGTTTTTGAGTTTTGTTAATCCCACAAACAAACATTACATTTTTATTTATATAGATGCAGGTGGTATGAACCCTACAAGTTTAAATTTTAGGGCTTGGGTGTAAAGCAAGGGAAGGGGAGATGACATAACCCAGAATGTAGTTCATGCTTGGCTGTGGAAAAAGAGTGTTTGCATAGCACTGAACAAGAATTAAGAACTTGGACTCCTTTTGGACTGTTCTTCAGTGTCTCATAAATTCATGAACAGTGGATAGGAACAGACTGTTCTCTCCCTCTCGGGGTCAGCAATGAAATTCATTTAATAGTGCATTGAGGACAGGCAAAGGGAATTTCACCATGAATAATTATGAAATTCACCACTATAAGATGTAGCTTTGGTAATTATCATGGCTGCTTAAACCCATCCTCCTTGACTTAATGTAATTTGCGGACTACATCGTGTCTAGAGGACACACACGTCTCATATTAGGTGCTGGTGATAAAAAGTAATAATTGCTGCCTTCATGCCCATCATGGACATCCAGGTATCTATCAGTCCAGCCACTGTCAGAAGCAAGATCTGAGGTTAAATTTTGTTCAAATCCAGCCAGCTAGTTCTTAATCACAACTTCCATGTTCATTTCTAACATCTATCCCGTCATGGCTCTGCAGAAAATTCTCATCATCTTCTATGTACATGGTTCATCCCCCCCTCTCTCTTTCATAGAATCATAGAATTGGAAGAGACCTCGTGGGCCATCCAGTCCAACCCCCTGCCAAGAAGCAGGAAAATTGCATTCAAAGCACACCTAACAGATGGCCATCCAGCCTCTGTTTAAAAGCCTCCAAAGAAGGAGCCTCCACCACACTCCGGGCAGAGTTCCACTGCTGAACAGCTCTCACAGTCAAGAAGTTCTTCCTAATGTTCAGATTGAACCTCCTTTCTTGTAGTTTGAAGCCATTGTCCCATTGTGTCCTGGTCTCCGGGGCAGAAGAAAACAAGCTTGCTCCCTCCTCCCTGTGACTTCCTCTCATATTGTCTCAAGGAATGGGAGGCAGTGATAGAGCTACAGAATTGGAAAATGTTGCTTAGAGGTTATCCAGTCTAAGTTGTATTAAAAGTTTCCACACAGAACCTCTTTCAGATGGGACATTCTTACATGACCTTGACTTACTTACTTACTTAGGCGATCCCTCGTTTTCCGAGGAGGATTGTCTTCCAGTGTTTTTGTGGGTCCGTATGTGGCTGTGGAGCCCTATTCTTGCTCTGCATCTTCTTCCGCAGTGAGGGCATTGGTTTCCAGGTGGAAGGCGGTCTCGGTCGGGGTTGGCTTGACACGCCTTCCTCTTGGCACGCTTCTCCCTTTCGCCCTCCATTCGTGCCTCTTCAAATTCTGCAGCACTGCTGGTCACAGCTGACCTCCAGCTGGAGCGGTCAAGGGCCAGGGCTTCCCAGTTCTCAGTGTCTATGCCAGAGTTTTTAAGGTTGGCTTTGAGCCCATCTTTAAATCTCTTTTCCTGTCCACCAACATTCCGTTTTCCGTTCTTGAGTTCGGAGTAGAGCAACTGCTTTGGGAGACGGTATTCGGGCATCTGGACAACGTGGCCGGTCCCGTCGAGTTGATGGCGGAGGACCATCGCTTCAATGCTGGTGGTCTTTGCTTCTTCCAGCACGCTGACGTTTGTCCGCCTGTCTTCCCAAGAGATTTGCAGGATTTTCCGGAGGCAGCGCTGATGGAATCGTTCCAGGAGTTGCATGTGACGTCTGTAGACAGTCCACGTCTCACAGGCATAGAGCAGGGTTGGGAGGACAATAGCTTTATAAACAAGCACCTTGGTATCCCTACGGATGTCCCGGTCCTCAAACACTCTCTGCTTCATTTGGAAAAATGCTTCACTCGCAGAGAAATCCCAAATGTTTTTTTCTAATGTTCTTTTCTATTCGTCTCTGCCCTCTATCTCCTTCCTTTCTTTCATCTCTTCTGCTTCAGGCTACTATCATCTGCCTCCCTCATCCCTCCTTATCTTACAGGACCAGTTCCTCATTGGGAGCTTGTTCTCGCTCCCCAGACCCCCTCTTTGATTCATTTTTTTTTACCTAGATTTACTAATCTGAAACTGTTCCCACTCATGATAGCTACTGAGTGATGACTGTGACACTATTCCCATGATTCTGTTAACTAAGAAAATACAGCCCAACCAATGCGTAAAATACACACATGCAGGTAAGTGCATCAAAACAACAACATAAAGCAGGGGTCCTCAAACTTTTTAAACAGAGGGCCAAGTCACAGTCCCTCAAACTGTTAGGGGGGCGGATTATAATTTGAAAAAAAACGTGAATTAATTCATATACACACTTATTTGTAGTGCAAAAAAACACTTAAAAACAATACAATAATTGAAATGAAGAACAATTTTAACTAAAATAAAATTATTAGTATTTCAATGGGAATTGTGGGCCTACTTTTGGCTGATGAGATAGGATTGTTGTTGTTGTGTGCTTTCAAGTTTTAGACTTAGGTTGACCCTGAGCGAGGGCCGGGTAAATGACCTTGGAGGGCGGCATCTGGCCCCCGGGCCTTAGTTTGAGGACCCCAAGTCTCAAAGATTGTTTTAAACTTTAAAGAAAATTAACCAAAAGCTGTGGATAATGTTGAGTGAAGAACACCATTTCCGTTGCTGTTCTATAATAGCTAATATCAAACATTGATTTACGTGGGATTCGTATTTGATTTTTAAAGCTGAATCTGATCTTTTTTCCTTTTTTTTGTAATTGCAGAACCAACTCCACACCTTCAATGATGTTTGTAATAATGAATCTTTAGTTTTTTTTTCTCTTCTTTTTTTGTTTTTTTTTTTATTTTTTTTTTTTTTTCTTTTTTTTTGGTTTTTTATTTTCCACCCCCCTGTTGTGTCAGTTCCACTGGCTGCCGATCCAGTTCCGAGCACAATTCAATATGCTGGTTTTGACCTACAAAACCCTTTACGGCTCCGGCCCAGCATACCTGTCCAAACATATCTCCTTCTACGTCCCACCTCGGAGTTTAAGATCCTCTGGGGAGGCCCTGCTCTCAGCCCCACCTTTATCACAAGTGAGACTGGTGGGGACGAGGGACAGGGCCTTCTCAGTGGTGGCCCCTCGCCTGTGGAATTCGCTCCCCGGGGATATTAGGGCATCGACATCCCTCCTCTCTTTCAGAAGGAAGTTAAAAACTTGGATTTGGGACCAGGCTTTTGGGTAAGCTGGCAGATGGATAAAGGAAAATGATGACTGGAATAGGAAAGGTTACGATAATGCTGGATGGACTACGGATTTGTGAATTGGCGAATGTTGACCACAAGATTGGCTTGTTA